TTTATTTTTGAGTCTTCATCCTTCCCGGTCTGATCGGTTCTGGCTGTGGCGCTAGGGGAGTTTCAGGCGGGGGAGAAGAACAAAGGGGTTGGGGGGCGTGGAAGCGACGGAAGTTCGAGCACGGTCGTTCTGGGCAAACTGGCGACATAACAGTGTCGAAGTGGTTAACAGGCCCTGGGACGAGACAATGGAGGATGCTTGGCATGTCCCTTCGGGTCCATATAAACAGTCAGACTCTCCGTCAGATGAGCGGCGTGAAGGATATCACTGCGACCATGCGAGGAAGTGAAATGCGATGGGTAAGGGCATGCCAGTGAACGTCGTGTGCTAGTGAGTGGTACCCACGAGAAAGTAAACGACCATCCGGGCGGCCTCGGAAGGGGGGACATACGTAAGCGATGGATGTTAGCTGAAGACATTCATACATGTGAATTCTATAAAAATTGCTAGTCGCACTGTGAATTCTACAAAAATTCAATTTCTTTTGGAGACTGTCGTTGCACGTATCGCAACTACCGAGCAACGAAAAATTGCCTAAGGCACATTATACATTTAGCCCAGACATCGTTGAACCTGCCAAAGAAAAAAGGTTCATTAATAAATGCTGTGTTTAAAAAATACATGTGAATATTTGCTAGTCACAATGTGAATTCTATAAAAATTCAATTTCTTTCAGTTTTATAGAAATTAGCCAAATTTACCTGCACTAGTCCTGCCATAATAAAAGCTACAGCAGCCAAAATTCCGCCGGTTGCCATTTTTCGTAGCGGTGTAATATTGCAAAATTTACGAGCCGTTGGATAGATGAACGCTTCGAAGATGGGCACCATAATCAGGATGATGAGCGGATTTAGCGTGTTAATCTGATCGGGTAGTATTGTGAACGGGCCAACACGACCATCCATGCGCCGTGCCTGCAGCACCCAGGTACTGCCCTGGAAATGTAACACATTCACCTTAGTTCGATGTATTTTATTTAATTCATCAAAAAAATTGCGTTTTCAGCCTAATGGGCCAAAAAGTCCTCTTTTTTCTCGGCCTCCTCTCATTCTCGACTTTCTTCTCTTTAGCCTTCCCATTTAGTTCACATCAACATCAGCATTTCGCCTCTTTCACCAGAATCATGTCCGAAATTGCACAGTCTTTCCTTATTCATTTTCTTCCCCAACCCGTTATCTTAGAAATGCAATTGCACTCATACCCGGCACACGGAGAGGAGGTCTACTTCTATGCACGTGTGGGCAATCTACGCCCACGGCTCAGGGATGAAACCAGTGATGTCCTGAAGTATGCTCATCGGTGCATGTAGTTTATTAATAAAACATCTCAATCTAAATATTTTAGCATTTGCAAATAATATCAATAGCATGCCTGTTGATCGAATAAAGCCCAAAATAATATCACTGGCCCAAAGAGTACCGAAACAGCAACCAAACTTTTTACGCCTGACAGGAAATAGTTGCTGTACTTTGATGCTGCATAATCAAGCCAATGTTCAACTTTATCCTGGCCTCTACAAGTACACATTTCAAGAATAATAAATGATTCTGGAATAATAATAGGCCAGAAGCTAAAAGAATAAGTAAGGTTAAAGGAGTGTAAACAGTATATTACACATGTCATTTACAAGAAAAATACAGTAATACAGCGGAAAGAGGGAGAAATCAACTAAGGAGATGAGAGGGAGAAACTGTTTTTGGATCCCTATCCAACTCCACAAGTGGACCTCGCCGGTAAGGTTGTGGTTTTTATGTGTTTTTGCATCTTATGCAAATGCAAAAAACTGTGTGTGTGTAGGTGTTTTGTCCGGGTAGTTCAAATCGGCAGTTAGGTAAGCCTTGATGTTATGATTTTGTTAGTGGGTTCGCTGGCAAAGTACTACGCAAGGACGTGGTATAATTTTCATGCACACCCGAGTCGCAGATGCGGACAAGTGAAAGTTTCGGCCGAAGAAACTGCTAACTTGAGAACCAGAACAGTTCCAATGCACGAGCAGCATTTTTATTTTTTGCAAAAAATTACATCAGTTTGCTAGTTCAAATTTCATCTTCATTAGGACTTAATTCTTGCCTTCGGACATGACTTCGCAGCTGAGTTTGATTTCCTTGAGTTTTTATCATGCTCTTTTGAAAATAGCGCTGATCAAAATTAGACAGTTTTCTTCAGGAATTTGATATCGTATCAAGAGCAAAAATTCCCTATTTCAGGGCCAGTGTGATCTCAGGGGATATTCATAAGGATGATACATGAGAGCGAGTCATTTATTATTAGCAAGAATTTTCATCATTCATAAGTCTCATATTTTTAAAGTATTAATGCATATGAGTGCTGAAAAGCGTGATTGGCACTCATAATTATGAGAATTTAAATTTTTGAAGAAAATCAATTACTTACTTGAAGAGAGCGCTAATTTTCTTTTTTGCAGCATAAATTATACAGCAAAACACGCTGAATACAACGTTTCCTTTCGCAGCGGGTGCTATTTTATAGTAGCGCCAGCCGCTTACAAATAATATGAATGCGAGCAGCATGAGAACACCGGGCACACCTGCAATCGCAATATCTCCGTGAGTTCTGAGGTCGGATGCCCGATCAAATGTTGCCGTGACGTCTGTGCTTTTGCATAGTTCCTATGCTGTAGTTTAATACTTGGACTCATATTAGCTGTGTTTCGAATAGACAAAAGAGCACCTACACGTAACCATGACGCGTGCATAAAATTCAGAGCGTTTGCCTTTGGCCCGAAATATGAATTACGAAAATAAAAAATTGTAGTGCTCTGAAATTGTAGGCGAAAAACCGGAGCAGAACTGTATGACAGTTCCATGCGCCAGACAAACATGTGCTTTTTTTTACGGCAGGCGTTCTATTTTGTAGGCAGGTGAAAGATAAAGCCAAAGACTCCACATGCTTCACTTGTCTTGTCCTGCCGATGAAATAAGTTTGGACCCGGCGGGAATCAAACCGCTCGCCTCCATAGGCCGGCGCGACACGCTAAACCACTACACTAATATACTCCATATAACCAGTTTGAATGTCGCTGACAGGTACTTATTCCATAGTATCGAAATATAAGCAGCGTACACTCGTCAAAACTTCAGGGCTTTTCGTAAGAATTTAGCGACACCGTGAGAAAGAGAGAGACATTTAGCCGTAATTCGAGGCATAGAATTTTGTCAACAGCAACCATTCGCTGATCGGTGCAGACACTCTAACTTTTCCGGCTAGAACTTCTGATTATTTAGCAAACTGAAAACAACTTCAAGGCGTGATAGGATGAACCACTGTCAATTTATCATTATAACGAATTAGCGCATTCTGGAGGAAATGGTTTCTCCAGCGGCCGACTCGAACTAAGAAAAAAATGAGCCTGGAAAATGTACATCAAACCAAACCAAAAATCAGTACTAGGCTGATGGAAATTCGCATTCACTGCGATCACACACGTGTAGCGGACATAGACGAGCACTGCAGAAAGATGAGGTACTCAATGAGCCCAAAGGGGTTTCGGACCGAGGCAAATAAACCGGAAGTTAACAAACAGAAGAAGTTTCACTCACCAAATGCTAACGGGAAGCAGTACTCGGATCCAAAACATTTCACGCGTCCTCGAAGCATCGGTGTTAGCAATATTGCCACAAGGGAGCCGGCGTTTATGGCAAAGTAGAAAAATGAAAAAAACTGATTCCTTTCGTTGACTTCATGTTCTTCAAACTAAAATTGACTTAATTGTGGTATTAGTATGAATGTAATCACCGCAATACCATCAAAATCAGTAAAGCACTTGCCTCAGTGTCAGAACCACTCATACACCGGCGGGGTGACAGGACGCTGGAGCCCCACTGGCATGCTGTCACTTATCGAGTACATCTATGCGTGGCTTTTTGGTCCTGGGCTACATACCTCCATTTAGTATCCCACCCCAGTCCTTCGAGAGTCAATTACCCATTTGCCGGCAAAGCGAGTAACGCGCCTCATTCATCGGATTTTCTTTTCTCGCATGATAACGAAGACTTTATGTTGAAATGATGAAGGCAGTCAGTTATCTGATTAATTTCG